GAAAATTCATGATATCCGAGGGAGATCTCGGCACCTCCCACTGCATGACTGCCTCGATTTTGGCCAGGTCGACCAAAATCCCCTTCTGGTTAACGAGATGCCCAAGGATCTGGACCTCTCGTAACCAAAACTCACACTTCAAGAACTTGGCATACAGTCGTTCCTGTCTTAGAACCCCCAGTAACTCCCTGAGGTGCTCCTCGTGCTGCTCTCGAGTCTTGGAATACACCAAGATATCATCTATAAACACGATGATCGAGCGATCATGCATCGATCTGCAAACCCGATTCATTAGGTCCATAAATAATGTTAGCGCGTTGGTGAGCCTAAACGGCATCACCACAAACACGTAATGTCCATAACGGGTCCGAAACGCGGTCTTCTCCATGTATTCCTCTCTGACCCGAACCTAATGATACCCAAATCTCAAATCTATCTTGAAAAACCAAGATGCACCCTACAACTGATCAAAGAGATCATCTATCATCGGGAGTGGATAACGGTTCTTCACCGTCAACTTGTTCAACTCCCTATAATCATTGCACATCCGGTGCGAACCGTCCTTCTTCCTGACGAAGAGTATCGGCGCTCCCCATGGGGAACTGTTCGGATGAATGAACTACTTGCCTTGCAGTTCCTACAGCTTTGATAACAACTCCTGCATCTCTGGTGGTACCAATCGGTACAGCGCCTTGGCGATAGTGACTGTATCGGCACCAGGTCGATCCGAAACTCGACCTGCCTCCTTGGAGGTATCCATGGCAACTCCTCCAGAAATACATCAGCAAACTCCTCCGAAGATCTCCAACTCACAACCTCGGTAGACCGAAGAAGCAGAAACCTCGTGTTCGTTGGCAATGGAAACTCGCAACGGACACTCTAGCTCGCCTACTGGCACACTGAACTCCCTACTGAATGTCTGAGATACAAACAACTGACTTGCCCGCGAGTCAAATAAAACCAATGCAGACAAGGAGTTCACTAAAATGTACCTAACTACAGGTACAACAGATAAACATAAAACATATATAATAAAAGAAATAAAGGATACAAACATACCAGCAACCACGTCCGGCGCTGCCTTGGCCTCCTCGGCTGTAAGCTGGATGGCACGCCCCTGAGCCTTCGGAGGCTCTGCTTTAACTGGCCTCTCATCCGCGATCCACAATATAGCCGACGTTAGAGCCTACGCCGACTTAGCGGCTAGTAGAGGACATTGGGCCTTCATATGGCCCACCTGCTCACAATGATAACAAAGTCTGACTCCGGGAGCCAGAGTCTGCTGCCTGCAATCCCTGGCCAAATGGCCCTACTTGCCACATCGGTGGCACCCACTCCCTGATCGGTACGTCCCTAAATGAGCCTTTCCGCAATTCCCTCAAGTGCGGCATGGCTGTCCCCCAGTCCTAGTATCAACGTTCTTAGACCGCTTCGTCGAATGTATATCCCCTAGTGATCAAGAGATAAACTAATTCACAAAAAAAAAAAATTATTTTTTTTACAAGTTATGTCGTCTTAATAAATTTGTTACACAAGTTTCTTTTTAGTTTATAACAAATAGTATGTACATTAAATAGAATCAACTAAAATTTATAAAATAAAAGAATCTTAAAATATGGCACAAGTGAAAAGAATTTACACCTGAAATAAAATATGGCTAATATATTTTAAGGGTAATAAATTTATCCGGTTTACATATTTAGTCTTTAAAATATCATTTTATTTTATTTTATTAATAAGTGTTTTATTCAATTATATTACTCTGTGAACCGAGGTATCCGATTATTATAACCTATTAAATAATATAATCAAAATAGAAACTCAAGAAACAAATCAAAAGTTGCACAAAATGTATTCAATGTGTAAATAGATTATCTAACTGAAAATAATTTTTTCATGTTCTCAATAAATTAATAAATTTGACAGATGCCATTTTTTAAGATTTTTTGAATTTTTTACTTGCCATTTTCTTGTGTTTTTTATTTTTATTTAAATTTAATATATATATATATATATATATATATATATATATATATATATATATATATATATCATTTTATTAAATTTCAGAATAAACCTTCTATAACCACTTAATTCCTTCATATTTAAAATCTCCTACAATTAAAACTTAAATTCATGTTATCACAAATACACATCCAATTAATATCATACATAGGCATCCAATTGATATATCAAATATTATTTTGAATGATCTCATATATTAAACGGGTCATAGCTAGTTGTTATAATAAATGCATGTGTGAATATTGACATGCGCTCTCCGTCCCAAATTCGAAACAGACATTTCGAAACAGACCTACATAATCATTTCAATTTCTATCTAGACCTTATTTTCTTGCTATTTCATGTCGACTTTACCAGAGAAAACTTACCTCACAAGAACCTATGTCAACTTTTTAATATGTCTAGTTTTGATTCTACTTCAAGCTTAGAATTCGGCTAATCTTCCAAACATAGTACTGACAAATCTCAATCTCTAGCTTCGTTTCAAAATTTAACATAAGAACAATTTACCAAAGCTATATTGTCCATATGTTATTGTCCTAAAATGCCAAGCTGTCTAATGGGACAATAGACTGATTCATAATCATCGAACGTATTCGAATTAACTCAACCAAGTTTTGGCATGGTCTTCATCATTCTTGTACGTACGTGGCATCTTTATATATGAAAGGAGTAACTTCAATATTATTGCTCGAGCTGAGAAATCAAGGAAAATGAAATTAACTATGAAATTTAAATTGAAAAGGCATCGTCTAAAGCTTTCTTACATATGGCATATGTATATAGTCAACCTAATATATTTGCCGCATAGACAAACAAGCAACTTGATTGGATTTCCCGTAGACATTGGTAATACTTTTGTCAAAACAAAAAGTCGGTTCTTTAGAATATATATGTTTCTTGGATTTACCGTTAATGATGAGTAGAGATCAAAGAAACAAGTATCCAATTTTACCATCATGTAAAAGTCAACTAGAATAGTCACTTTTTCTATGAAATCCTTTGGTTTAATATACTTCATTTTCCCGATAAAACTGTTTAATGAATCGTCAAAATTAATAAGAACTAGCTAGGTTCGATAATGAGGATCCGCTTTACGAATATGGGAAAATAAAATTAGGTGCATTGAGTTCATGATCAAGTTTCGAATGCCATTCGTAGGTTTCAATGCTTGGGTAAACATTTTTTTTTATCACCAAGTAATCCTAACTGTACATTCCTCGAATTCCCTCAACTTTGTATATAAACGTGGCAAATGAGTTGTATTAGATCATGAGTGTAGTAAGAAAATTATGTATAGTTTAGTGGAGAAATTCAATATTCCTCAAGGACTTACAAGTTACAATACCCACTCGGGTATATGAACATCAAGTATGTGGTAGTGTTGAACCCCATTGAGCATTTTCTCAATATTCTTCGTGTTTTCAGAATATATATATATATATATATATATATATATATATATATATATATATATATATATATATATATATATATATATATATATATATATATATATATATATATTGCGAGCATGAACCAAACTCATAAAATGGAGTCTGTTCGAAATCATTCGGTCATTTAATTAAATGATTACCTAAAATTGACTTTTAAAGTTATAATAATATATATATTTCGAAATCAACGCTCAAACATGCCCCTTAAGTAAAAATCACTTAGGATTGATCAAACCAACCATTTGATGTTTTTTTTGTAACCAGAACATTGGAATGGTAGAAATACATAGAGACAAAACGGCAATAGATCATTCCAAGATTCGTATTTATTGTAGTATCAATTGAGCATACACATACGACATACATATCTGAGTGTTGTTTTGAACCAATCTTTTCGTCCATAATGGATCCAGAATTTTCATTTAAAGTTCACTATTTGCAATAAGATAAAACTATAGACGAGATATATGCAACCACAATTCATTTTGAGGCCAAAAAAATGTAACATTTTCCTTATTATGATCTGTTAAAACATGTTTGCATAATTCGTGTGAGGTGTATAAATTGGTAGAAAATATAAAATATCATATTATATCTAGTGGCGGACCTTAGTGGTGCCCTAGGGGTCCCGGGCCACTGCTCCGATGCCGGCAAGTAGTGTAAATTTTTTTTTTAATGTTTTTTCTATTGGGTGCACCGGTTTAAAACACGAGTGACACTACTAATATAGATTTATGTGGAAAAAAAAAATTAGTGTCACCCCTATGAAAATGTTTTGCGTCCGCCACTGATCATATCATATCATCTTCTTATCTTATATTATCTTATCATCATTATCATCATTATATACTTATAAATGAATCATTTTTCCTTTCACCACATTCATTTGAAACTTCCATGCATTTTTCCTTTCATCACATTCATTTGAAACTCCCATGACTTTTCAATTTTTTTTGATAATAATTATAAGTTGTTTAATAAGGTTAAATAAATATCAAACCTAAAGTGTAATTGTAATCATATATATATATATATATATATATATATATATATATATATATATATATATATATATAAACTAAATTTCAATATTAAAATAATATCTTTACTTCTACTTATAAAGTTATGTTTGTTAACTTTTAGGGAAAATGACGTATAGACCCTATAATGTTTATAAGGTTGACCCATTTAGCCACTTAATTTATTTTATGGCTTAATAAGGGAACAAATTACTCTTTGTCGGGTCGATTAAGTCCTTATTTCAATTTTGAAGGGGTTATCCGGTCATTTTAAGTCCACGTCCTTCTACTAACACCACATCGGATGCTGACTATGACTTTTGTCTAATGTCATGTCATTAATTAGTCGCCTCCTTCTTAATGTCGGTATATGCTTTATAAAAGAGCCCTTTTACATCTACTATTCAACACTTCATAGGAAAACCCTTTTTTGTGAGCTGCTTCTGAATCCTCAAGCATGGAACTCCTATTTTTACAAGTAGATGTTCACTTCCAAGGAATGTTCGCCAGAAACCCCATACACTACACCAGTGGAATTAATCAGAGGTTTTCAGACATCGATTTCGCAGGAATGGACAAGGATGGGTGTGTTGCATTCATCGAAAGGTTTATTGGGGAAATGTGTGAGAAGCTCTATTACTGCGAACCTGATATTGATTTTCCAAAAGGTTTGACTCTAATTTGCAATGACCCCGATTATTACGACTTCATAGCAATTGCATATGAATGTGGTGTTATACTCCCTATGTATGTAGACCATTTAGGGAATAGTAACATACAGGAATGGTTGGATGAACACAAAGACGAGTTTGTTGGTAATGTTGAGGAAGAAGTACTTGATGGTGCAGAACTGGTTAAGGAAGTTGGACCAGGGCATCGGGATGTGGGTGACACAAACGATGAGGAAGAGAATGGCGACGATGATGACGACGAGGATGAGGATGTTGATGGTGATGAGGATGACCATCAGAAGCCTCATTTTTTATAAAGGGTAATGAGATTCAGGTAGAGATGGGTGAGAAAGCAGGTGCAGGTGATTTTTTTGAAGAAGACATGGGTGACAATGAAGATGTTTATCCCGAATTGCCAAATATTTTCAATGATAAGCTCAATTGGAAGGAGCAGGAACTTGTTTTAGGTATGAGGTTTGAGAGTCCTAAGCAATTGAAACACATGCTTTGTAACTATGCTGTCGCGAATGGTTATCAATTATGTTTTGTTAAGAATGATACTAGACGATTACTTGTCAAATGTTGTGATGGCAAATGTACTTTTAGGCTTTGGGGTTCTTGGATGAGTGAAGATAAGTCTTTCCAGATAAAATCTTTTATTGGTGAGCATAATTGTGCAAAGAATTTCAAATTCGGATCAATTGTGACTTACAAATGGATAGCGACTCACTTTAAGCACCAATTTTATAACAATCAAAAGATGAGCGTCCGAATGCCTAGAGAGGAGGTAAAAACCGATTTTGGGATTAATGTGAGTATGAGTCAATGTAGGAGAGCCAAGAAGTATGCATTGAGTCTAGTTGAAGGGACAATAGCTGAGAATTATGCAAGATTATGGTCATATGGTGAGGAGATTAGAAGATCAAATCCTGGATCCACAGTTAAAATTTGTGTTGATTCAGTGTTTGATGGTAAGAATTATTTCAGCAAAATATACATATGTTTTGCTTCAGTAAAAGAGGGATGGAGGGGAGGATGTAGGAGGATCATTAACCTCGATGGTTGTTTTCTGAAAAGTCTTTGTCAAGGGGAGTTGCTTTGTGTTGTGGGTAGAGATGCTAACGATGGAATATTTCTGATTGCTTGGGCAGTTGTTTCTATGGAAAACAAAGAGAACTGGAAATGGTTCTTAGAAACTCTTTCAGAAGATTTGCAATGTTGGAATGATGGTAACGGTTTGGTTCTAATTTCGGATCAACACAAGGTATGGTTCAAAACTACTGCATGTTCTAAATTTAGTTATTGTTATTCTAATTTCAAACATTTATGTGACTTATGTAGGGTTTGATTGAGGCAGTAAGGGAAGTATTTCCAGTAGCTGAACATAGACAGTGTGTGTGACATCCCAAAAATCACGGCCAGAAAAGACCGGTTTCATTTATGCTTTTAGAATAATTTCAGAGTAAATCCTTTTGATTTAAAAGAGTTGCGGAATTTGTTCCCAAAAACAAAACGTGACAAAATAATATTTACCAAAGCATTTCATAAAGAAATGTATTTTCATTATATAATCAAAACTTAGGATGTCATGTTCCGATACAGACCATAGAGCATAAACGATAACATTACAAGTCATTCAACAAATATATACATATACAAACTTGTAAACAAAACAACTTGATGATTCATCCATCTTATGCCCTTGCGCCACTTCCTATAATACAAATAAACTGAGTGGTTCAGGCTTGGGAGCCTGGTGAGAATATAGGGTTTTCAAACCACAATAAACAATTAAATTAATTTTCATCAACCAACAATAACCCAATTACCCATTCCCGTTATTCTCACTTTACGTCCCTAAAATAATTAACACAAGGGACCTATTCTAAGAATATTTCATCGGGGCGACAACACATGCTTCAGGGGTTTCCCAGCAATATATGTCAAATAAGGCAACCATGAGGGGGATGGAGTACATCGAATGAACACCCAAGTTCATTAACACCTACATGTGGCGAGCCTGCTAGCGTTCCACAGGACTGTCTAGAAAAGTTTGTGGTCATCATCTAAACTCTGATAGATGACTAAATCAAAAACAACATCGAGACCTCTCATCTGTTTATCACACATCAACTATCTACCCATGTTCTACCCAACATATTAGTAGATAAAAATATATATTTTTATACATAGTTTAAAACCTGTATAGCATTCTCATTCAATACATATTCCAAACAACAGATGAGACACATACACATAACACGTATTTCATAGAGAATAAATCATATCTATGAGATTGAAGAAAGTGAATATACATCCACACATATAACAACAAATTATACACATAACACGTATTTCGTATAAAATACTTCATAACTATGTATTAGAAGAAAGTAACTACACACTCACTTGATCAGAAGATGATCGGACAACACTACAACTTGTACAAGTAGTATTCTTCGGTAGATCTGGAAGATCTTCACACAAATCGGGCTCCTCGCGGGCAGAGCTTCGGCTTGGAAACTCTTTTCTTCTCGGGATCTTCGGGCTTCGGGACTCGCGATGATACCGGGGATTCGGGATATTTATTGCACGTAAATCGAGGTAAAACAGGAGAAAGAGGAGAGAAAATAGCAACCCTAAACGGCTGGCCCTTCAAATCTATTTATAGGGCGAAATTAGCCTTTGCCACGTCGTGACACCTTTTTCCACGTTGTAGGCTTGGTCGTCACTACATGCATCATCGCAAGTTGCGTCTGGGGGACTCCAGGAGGTGTCAGAAGACTTGCCACGTCGTGGTATCTGACAGTTTTGGGGTTTCGCGCCCCAAACTTCAGAAACACATAACTTTCGCATACGTACTCCGTTTTCAACGTTCTTTATATCGACGCGTAGGTGAGATTATGATCTACAACTCTCGTTTAGACTCCGTTGGCTAATTTTGACTTTATTTTTAATATATTATAAATATATTATTTATATATTATTTTTAGTAGGCCGGGACAGGAAAACTTCATTATAAATTCATAACTTCTTTATCCGACGTCCGTTTTCGCCTATCATTTTATCGTTTCACTACTATTAACGACATCTTCGATTCTCGTTTAGATTGTTTCGGCTAACAACGGCTCGATCTCAAATCGAGTATTCGGGCTGCATACTACTAAGTCGAAACTTCAAAAAATCATAACTTCCTCATACGAAGTCAGATTTAGGCGTTCTTTTTATGCACACTCTCGGTTTAACGAACTCTTCAAGTTTCGTTTAGATTAATAAGGCTACATATCGCTCTATCTTAAATTCGTATTTTACATCATTCGGCGTCGTGTTGGTTCTGTCGCGAAACTTCGACAGATCATAACTTCTTCTTTATAACTCGGATTTTGGTATTCTTTATATATTCGGAAACCTCGTTTCAACTACTACAACATTATCCAAAGATATAGGCTTTATCTACTATTTTATTTTGACGCTTATTTTTATTCTTAATTCATTTAAGCCACACAACTAAGCACAAAACATATAATACTCAAATAATAGATTCTTATTATTTCAAAATGGTTTACAAAGGTTAATGTAGACTAATACATTTTTATTAATGACAAGCCCAGAAACACAGGTGTTACAATTCTCTCCACCTTAGAATGATTCCGTCCCCGGAATCACACATCAACAAACAACTGCGGGTAGCGACTCATCATGTCACTCTTTGTTTCCCAGGTGAGATTCGGCCCATTTGTGTGTTTCCATCGGACAAGCACTAAATCTACCATCTTGCGTCTCAACTTCTTAGTCTTTCGGTCAACGATTACTTCAGGTTCTTCAATCAACCTCTTGTTCTCATCAATTCTTATCTCAGAAATTGGAATTATGTCGGGAACTTCTCCTGTGAACTTCCTTAAATAACACACATGGAAAGTGTTATGAACTCCATTCAGTTATTCTGGTAGTTCGAGCTTGTAATCTTGGTACCCAACCCTATGAAGAACTTTAAACGGTCTAATAAACCTTGGACTTAATTTTCCCTTTTTACCAAATCTTATAAGTCCTTTCCAGGGAAAGACTTTAAGCAAAACCGAATCTCCAACTTCAAAAGTCATTGGTCTTCGCTTTTTGTCAACATAGCTCTTTTAACGATCCTGAGCGGCTAACATTCTTTCCCTAATTATTTTCAACTTTTCAGCAGTTTGATGAACCATCTCGGGTCCCATAAATTGCTTTTCCCTAGCCTCAAGGCAACAAGACGGCGTACAACACTTCTGTCCCTAAAATTTTTGATAAGGTGTCATCTTTATGCTCGAGTGGAAACTATTATTGTAGGAAAATTCTACCAAAGGTAAATGTTCATCACAGTTACCTAGGAATTCTAGGGTACATGCTCTCAGCATATCTTCAAGTGTTTGTATTGTTCTTTCGCTCTGACCATCAGTCTGCGGATGGTAAGTTGTACTTAAACACAACTTGGTACCTATTTCCTCTTGTAGACTTTTCCAAAACCTTGAGGTGAAACGGATATCACGATCTGATACAATCTTTAACGGAACACCGTGAAGCCTTACAATTTCCTTCACGTAAGAATTCGCAAGATTTTCCATATACCATTTTCTCATTGGCTGCTATGAAATGCGCACTCTTAGTGAATCGATCAACGACCACCCAAATCATGTCGTGACCATTCTTTGTTCTGGGTAGTTTAGCGACAAAATCCATAGAAATGCCGTCCCATTTACCCATAGGTACAGGCAAAGGCTCTAAACTCCCATATAGTTTCTGATGTTATGTCTTGACTCTAGCACAAGTCACACACTCGGCTACATACTTTGCAACATCAAGCTTCATCGTCGGCCACCAGTAGTAGGGTTTCAGGTCCCTATACATTTTAGTGCTACCAGGATGAATCGAGTACATGTTCTTGTGAGCTTCTTCCATCAGAAGATCTCTGACTCCTCCTGTCTTAGGCATCCAAATCCGATCTTGGAACACCTTCAGTCCATGACTGTTTATACCGAACACCAAGGTTTTGCCCAAACGTTACTCCTTTCGGTCATTCTTCTCAAAAACTTCCTCTTGAGCCTTCTTTATACTCTCCACAATTGTAGAGACAACTTCTATTCTCAACGCTCTTGGCCTCTTCCTTTCAAGATTGACTTTCCGACTGAGGGCATCAGCAACAACATTAGCTTTACCAGGGTGGTAAAGTATCTCACAGTCGTAGTCCTTAAGTAACTCTAGCCAACGTCGTTGCCTCATATTCAATTCTTTCTGACTAAAGAGATATTGGAGACTCTTATGATCAATGAAAAGTTTGCACTTCGTG